CTTGTCTCCTACCCTACCTTCTTATGCACCTTCAACTGAGCCTTATTTTAATGATTTTTAATGCAGTTGTTATCAGAAATTCGACTATTTATCAAAGGCTAAAGATTTTCATTTTTAGTAAATATAGCTTTAATAAACACTATGCGCATTTTTAGTAACGGTCAGTTCTCCAGCGGTTTAAGACGTTAGAGACACGAAGTGGGCGAATAATGGATAACAGGCATTTTTCGTAAAGTTCATTAAATGTACTGTACTTTAGAACAATAATGATGATCCACTACTAAAACAGTATAAATGAAAATAATCCCTTCTGATTCAGCCTTAAGCAAATCGATCAGGAGTTTATTTATGATGCTGTTGAGCCTAACTCTGTTTGACTCAAAAGTTCGTATTCAATGTTTACACATTACAATGGATAAGGAAGAATGATTGTCGTGCACCGGATCAGTTTGTTTATTATCATGAGCTTTCGGGCTCTTACGGGAGTCCATTGTCACAGATAAGAGCATACACGTAAAGCAAGCTACAGTTATAGGTGGCGGGAACCGATGAACCGTTATACGGGGCGGGGGAGGGAGGGAACGGGGAGAGAATTAATTCCTTAACAGTATCGACCGGGCAAATACGCCTGCGGAGACCGATGAATGCCGGCACCAGATCGATTGACTGAATTCTCATCCGGGGCCCAGGCTTCAATAAATTCTCGGCCTGTCTTGCTGCCGGCGTGGCCGGTTATCTTCGCAGCTGCGAAGTTAAATTCGTGACCCGTCTCGTAGGTGTGGGCCGCCACTTGCGACAAAGCGGCGCCCCTTCTCACAGCCAGTTTATGTTCGTGTATGCGCGGACCGAGCATGCGTTCAGTTTGCCCTGTATAATTACAAGAACGGCTTAGGCATGGAATGCGATACACTAACCCAGCTTGTTCGCTGGGGTTCAGCCGCTCTTTTATTTTTATTACCCGGTTGTGCATGGTAGCCTTGGGTCTGTGTGCATTTACATTACAATATGCGTTTTCCCAATTAAAAATACATACTAAATAAATGGAGCTTACAATTTGAACGATTAATTATCAACGGAGCC